AAACAGTTATAAAAAACCTCCCAACTAAAAAAGCCCAGGATCAGATGGATTTAAAGCAGAATTTTATCTGACATTTAAAGAAGATCTGCATCTGATACTACTTAATTTATTTAAAAAAATAGAAATGGAGGGAGAGCTTCCAGATTCCTCCTATGAAGCCAGCATCACTCTAATACCAAAGCTAGGTAAAGCTACAACCAAAAAAGAAAACTATAGACCCATATCCTTAATGAACATAGATGCAAAAATTCTCAACAAGATATTTGCAAACGACATACAGACACACATCAAAAAGATCATCCACCATGATCAAGTTGGCTTTATCCCAAAAATGCAGGGATGGTTCAATATAAGTAAGTCAATGAATTTCAAAAATTGTATAAATGGACTCAAAGATAAGAACCTCATGGTCACCTCAATAGATGCAGAGAAGGCCTTTGACAAAATTCAACCTCCATTTATGTTCAAAGTCCTAGGTGGAATTGGGCTGCAGGGAACATCAACATAATTAAAGCCATGTATAACAAATCCACAGCCACCATCATTCTAAATGGAGAAAAACTGGACGCATTCCCATTGAAATCAGGAACCAGACAAGGCTGCCCACTATCCCTACTTCTCTTTAACATAGTACCTGAAACTCTTGCAAGAGCAATAAGACAAGAGAAGGAAATTAAAGGAGTAATAATTGGAAAACATGAGATCAAATTATCCCTTTTTGCAGATGATATGATATTATATCTAAGGGGTGCCAATAATTCCACCCCCACACTCCTAGAAATTATAAATATGTTCAGTAAAGTGGCAGGTTACAAAATTAACCCACAAAAGTCTATTGCCTTTCTATATACCAATAACAAGCAATCAGAGAAAGAGCACATGGAAACACTCCCATTCACAATATCTGCAAACAAAATAAAATATCTCAGAGTAAACCTGACCAAAGACACTAAAGAGCTCTACAATGAAAATCTTAAATCTTTAAATTTCTCTTCTTTTTTGAAGCAGGTAGGAATCAAAGAAAAAAAAATCATAGAAATGACTTCACCTGAACATATTTACAATTATTTTGATATAAAATCTTGCATTGACATTGTTGGGTAGATGTCTTCCAAATGCTAGGACTGAATGGGGCAGGTCTATAGCCCAAATGTGAGAGACACTGAGAAATGCTAAAGCTGAGCACACTGTGTAAAAGCGGAGATGTAACCACCAATTTTGGACATAGGGAATGGCTGTGAACTGCAGGGGAGAAGGCGCTCAGACTGAGTGACACTGGTGCATGGATCTCAAAGCTTTGCCAAAATGTAGAAATTGTGCCATGGGATTACACCCTTTCCCGGATGTCATAAACTATGCAAAACCCATATAGAAGGCATTCTGTTGGTTTTGTCAGCCCTGGGACCTCAGAGGAGGCATGCAAGGCTCTCCCAAGGATGGAGAGGGGAATTTTGCATAACAGACACTTATACACAGTTAATAATTTTTAACTTTTTCATCTTTTGATGTGGTATCTTATTATGTAGATTCGACTTGCCTAGAACTTACTATGTAGTTCAAGGCTAGCTTTGAACTCATGATCCTTCTGCCTCTGTCTCCTAAGTGTTGGGATTGTAAGTGTGTATTGCTTCTCTCCTGTATTTTAATTTTTTATGTTCTTTTTAATTTGCATAGAGTGTTGTCTATAATTTATTTCTTGTATATAACCCAATAATTCTGATGTCTGGGCAGGATTTTTGCTTCCTGAAGCTTTTATTATTTTTTGGCTGATACTCAACTGTTTAGGTTTACATGCCAAGATTTTTGGACTCTGTGTTCTATTGGCCCTTGAAAAATTACTTGCAGAATTTTTTAATGACCTGGGATAGCTTGCTGTCATTTAGAGAGGTTTTCTCTTAGCTATTTTATTAGGAAAGTTACCTAAATCAACTTCAACACTGTTGCGTTCTAGACTACTTTAGATTAGTGCTTCCAAATCTTTTTCCACTGAAGACCCTTTTCTACCTGAGAAATTTCTAATGCGAATCAAGTATAAAGGATTTTTTTTTAAGTTACACAAATCAGGAGGTGGCGATTGCTCAGCATTTAAGAACACTTGTTGTTCTTCCAGAGGACCAAGGTTCAAGTCCCAGCATAAGCATGGTGGCCAACTCCAGTTCCAGGGGACTCAACACCATTTTCTGGCCTCTGTGGGAGTTGCATACATAAGGAATACTTACATACATGTAGGCAAAACTTCATACACATAAAAGAAAAATAAAATAATAAATAGTTTTTTAAAACTTACATATTGCTGATAAGGACACTTATTTTAAAACATTTTATATACATAGAATTTTATAATTTATTAAATATGAAAGCATATTTGTATGCTAATTAGATAGATGTTTGCTTACTTTTACAAATGGAATCAAATCATTTTTAGTATTTGATTCTGTAGCATGTGCTAAAACCTCAATGTATTTTATAGTTGGTTAGCATTTGATTTTTATACTCATCAACAATGAAAGTCTTGCTACAAAAAATACATTGTTCATGATGGCAGAAGTGGACCATGTCAGGTAAGTTTGGAAAATGTATCTTAATCCCAAGAAATTTAAAACTTTAAAAAAATATATTTTGTGGAATTATTATGCATTAATCTTAATCATATATAGATCATCTCTCCTTATGTTCCCCGTTTCACCCTCCACTAGATTTCATGCATTTTGTCATATACGTTAAGGCCTACAGTGTCAGGCTTTTACACCCATGGATTCTTTGAAGCAAGTTCATCCACTGGAGTCAACTTTTCATGTAACTCAATCCAACAACTCAAATAGCAACTTAAAATTAAGCATTCTAACATAATACAACCCCAATATAAATGAATTTGATACTTATATGATGATGAATATTTATAGCTCTCTAAACTATTATGTTTTCTTATAAGTATAAAACTTGGTGTGTATAATAAAATTATTGTAATTCAGGCCTAGCTCAGTTCCTCAGGTTTTATAAACCAGGCCTTTGCAGTGAGAACTGCGCTGCATCAGAAAGGCATAAGCAGCAAGATGATGTCACAGACCCAGGTCCTCATGTATCTCTTGCTATGGGTATCTGGTGAGAAATTTAAAAGCATTATAATCTCTTTAGAGTAATACTTTTGATAGATATAAAGATAATTTGTAGGATAAAACGGCTAGTTCCTTTATAAGGTCCAATAGTACACAGAGAGAATGCCATTTTAAAAGACATTTTAAATTTCAGGTTTTGGTTCATCTGCATCTCTGTATGTATGTATGTATGTATGTATGTATGTATGTATGTATGTACGTATAATCATTTCCTATTTCTGATTGCAGATGTCTATGGGGACATTGTGATGACACCGTCTCCAGAATCCCTGGCTGGGTCTTTAGGAGACAGAGTTACCATAAGCTTTAAGTCCTGTCAGAATGTTGGTATCAGTGTAGCATGGCACCACCAAAACCAGGAGAGCCTCCTAAATACCTGCTCTGTGAGGCATCCATATGGGCTTCTGGGGTCCCTGATGTTTCATGCACAGTGGGTCTGCTCAGATTTGAGTCTTACCATCGGCAAGTATACAGGCTGAACACCTGGTAGATTATTGCTGTCAGAAATATTCTTACCTTTCTCCCGGTGTTTCAGTCTCAAAGATGATCCTTCTCTGACAGTCTCACCAGCTGCTTACACCCCACAGCCCTGGACCTGCATACTTCCTCTGTCTGTCAGGGAGTCAAGTGTTCCTTACTCATGAATGAAGAAACTTGCCAACCTCAGCAGAAAAATGAGCAGCAAATGATCTTTCAGAGCCTTTGAATTGGATGGTCCTTTTGGTAAAATGAGGCAAAGACCTTTGTATTGGTTTTGTATTTCTTCTGTAACAGTTGGATATAAACTCTCTGGTTTGGACTTAAGGAACTCCTCAGTTTATAATTCTGGAGTCCGGAAGTCCAGCACAGGTCTCCATGGACCCGAAGTCTCGATGCTGGCAGCCTACATTGCCTTTTGGAGGATCTAGAAGAAAACGTGTTTTTGTTTTTTCCAGCTCCTAGGCATCTTCTTTATTTTCTGTCTGGTGATCATTTTCCTCCATTTTTCCTTTTTGGTAGAATTTATTTATTGGTATATATTCATTATAGATAATATTGGGTTTCATAAAAACAATAAAATATCCATTTCTACAATATTCTCCTACCTTGTCCTCTCCTCTCTCTGCCTTCCTCTTTTGCCCTTCGACTAATCTCCTTCATTTCCCTGGTTTCATTTCTACTTTTGGACCCCAACACATATACACATGCAGTTTTCTGTATCCATGAAAGTCTAGGATTCATGAATTTGGGAAAAGATCTACTTGTCTCTCGAAATAACATATCTGATCTATGCCTCTTTGAAGGCTATATCTTCCTCTGAAGTTTCCCCATCTTCTTTCCAAATTTGGATACTGAGAAACCTCACTTTACTTAATGATACGTATGATTCTGTTATCTGTAGACTCCATGTCCTGTCTTTTTTCAATGTATAAATATTTTGAATTTTGTGTATTTAATATTATTTCATATATACATATTGATGTTAATCATATTTAGGCCCCCTCCTCTATGTGCACTTCCCATACCCTGACCCACATTTCAGGTCATATATGATAAGGCCTATCAAGTCATTTGTTTCCCCAGATGATCCTTAGTTTGAGTTCATCAACTGGAGCTTGGTCAGCCTGTCTAACATCACCCAGCAGCGATCAGTTGTCAACAGTTCCTCAATTAAGATTGGGGCCTCTTGCCTGTTTCCCCATTTCTGTGCTAGGTTCTTGTCTGGTTAGCATCGGCTCTTGTGCTTGTTGTCACCACTGCTGTAGTTTCATATGAGTAAGTTCCCAGAAGCCTGGAAAACACTGTTTCCTTCTTGGCATCTACCACCCCTGGCTCTTACAATTTTTCTCCCCCCTGCAATGGTCTCTGGGCCCTGGGTGGGTCAGGTTTAATACAGGAGTCCTCTCCAGGGACACACACACACTTATAAATAATGTGTGTATCTAATATTAGAGTACCAGTTTTTATAGTCAGGTCAGTTCATCATCTCATTTTAATGACCATTAGAACATTCTTACATAAAATCCATAAGGAAATAGTAAACTTAAAAAAACATTGTTTAGACAAGAGTATATAACAGACACATACTCAGAATTTTCTATCAAAGTTAAAAAAAAATGTGCATTTTCCTCAAGGCCAAACAGAACGTTCTCCTGCTAAAACAGTATATTTTGCCAAAAAGTCTTAATGACTGTAAGAAATTGGAAATCATATTCACTATCTTTTATGGTAATAATGGCATAGAACTCAAAATCAATATTATGATGAAAATTGGAAAATTCAGAACTGAAAATTAATTATTCTTCTGAAAAAAATGAATTAAAGTAAAAAGCAATCAAAAAAGAAATTTTAAAAATTCCTCAAGACAAATGAAAATGGAAATAAAACTTACCCAAAACAAGAAGGCACAGGAAAATGGTTCTAATAGGACATTTAAGAATGCAGAGGCAGAAATGGAGCCTAACTCCTTGTCTGAAGAGTTTCCCCCACCATAGGAACCTTCTTCATTTTTTGACTGTAACACAAAATAATTTTAGATTGTAACAGTATGTAATTTATTAATGATATTTTAAACATAGGTCTTATGCACAGTGGTTAATAGGAAGAGACTTCCAGCAGAAGAATACAATACACAGAAGTATGGGTGTGTGTTTCACAAGAGAAAGTCAAGCTTACATGTTTTTGCATCACTACATGCATGATCCTGTGAATTTATACTGCTTAGAAAGTATATTTCACAAAAAGTTTTAAAAGTTAAAGAATGCCTTAAATAAACTGAATTTCAATGTGGATTTATGAGAAGTATTGGCACAGTTTAGCAATCAGAGGGGGTTGCTAAATACTCAAGGTTATTTCCCCTAGTAAGCACAGATTAAGTACTGTTTAAGTTAAATATGAGCAGAAGGATGTACGTATCAAGAAATTCAATAGAAGTAAATCAAACATACAGGACACAGATATCTTAAACACAAATACGGACTTTGTCCATGTGCATCACTCCAGTGAGCACAGAAAACCGAGAGTCCTCAGCCTCTATTTCATAAGGGTGAAGGTAGCACTCTGCCAGCCATGTCTGACCTTCTGGTGAGCCCAATGTGTTTGAATTGCTTTGGCCTTGCCCCTCCCCCAGGTGAGATCATTGTGCCTGAAAAGATTCAGCTCTGTTTGTTGCTCGGGTAAATACACTTTTCCATGAGACCTGGAGAAACATTTTTATCTTGATGGATTCAGCATCCCTTCTGTGATGGTTACTGTTATTATCAACTAGAGGGGATCTATAATTACCTAAGAGACAAACCTCTGGGTATATCTGCAAGGGATTATCTAGATTAAGGATAGCTTTTCTGATTGTCTGTAAGTGATTATCTTGATTAGGTTAAAAGATGTGGAAAACACATCTTAACTATAGATATGACCATTCCTTGGGTGAATATCCTGGATGATTTTGAAATAGATCATGAAAGAAAATTAGCTTTCATCAGCCTCTGCTTCCTAATTCTGTGTGTGTGTGTGTGTGTGTGTGTGTGTGTGTGTGTGCGTGATGTGTCCAACAATGTCAAGCTCCAGTTGTCTTGACTTCCCCATCACAATGGGTTGTATCCCTGAACTGTAATCCAGAATAAACACTTTCTCTCTTAAGTTGCTTTCTTCAGTCTTTTATCACAGAAATAGGAAAATAAACTAAGATCCGATTTCCTCCAAAACTGCAGTATCTCCGAATTTGGTGGGAATTCTGATTTATCATAGGATCTGCCTCTCCTGGCTCTGAATCACACAGCTACTCTTCCAATCTTCAGATCAGTGCTGTGTTAGTGAATAACACACCGAAGTGGTGTTAGGAATTTTAAAGAGAAACACAGGGCTCATGCAAACACAAAGAAATCTGGGGATTCTCTAAAATAGATCATATATTGGGACACAAGGCAAATCCAGGGAATTTGAAATAATTCTTTATCTATCTGATCAAAATGGAATTAAGTTATAAATTTGTCATTGAAGAAATCAAGAAGAATGTCACAACACTTCTAGAAATAAATGAAAATAAGATCACAAACTGTAGAATACAATGAAAGCAGTCCTACAAGGGAAGTTTGTAGCTTTTAGTACCAACATCAAGAAATCAGAGAGAAATCAAATAAAAAATGTAGTCATACAATGTAGGGATGTGGGAAAAGAAAAGAACAAGTCAAACTTAAAATCCGTAGGTAGAAAGAAATAATTAGTATTAAGGAAGAAATGAAATGGAAATGAAAAAAATACTAAGATTCAATGAAATCAACAGACCATACACGGGGCTGGGGTTTCTTGTCCACCTTCTCCTCCATGTTGTGATTTTGTGTCACTTATGTGTCACAGGTCTTGTGCATACCATCACAGCACTGTAGGTTCATATGTGCAACTGCCCTATTGTGTCCAGAACACACACTGTTTCTTTGCATTCATTCACCATTCTAACTCTTACAATCTTTCTGTCTCCTCTTGTGAAATGATTCCTGAGCCTTGGGGTGAGAGGGTAAGATACAGGTGTCCCATTTAGGACAGAGGACTCCACAGTTCCTGCAGTTCCTTATTTTACTACATTGACCAGCTGTGAGTCTCTGTGTGAGGGCTGAAAGATGCACTAAACTATGGGTATAAAAATGCATTATTAGGACTCAGTTTAATATCCTATGTCCATTTAGCAGGATAATAGTATGAGGAGGGTAACAACCACTAAATACCTTGTGAAAAAGCTATCTGGTCACCTGTAGAAGCTTCTTAAATTATATAAAATATAGGGATAGTGTTGGGTTAGGGTAAGGGTCCGGGCCAGAGCAGAATTGGATATAGTGTGTTATAATTAGTGTGTGTGTGTGTGTGTGTGTGTGTGTGTGTGTAATATAAATGGAGTTGCCCTATGATGTGGCCTGCAATTCTACTACTAGACAACAACTTAGGCTAGCAAAGAAAAAAGCCCAATGATAGGAATGGGTTCCCTCCTTTGCTAGAGAGGCCCCTTAAACTCTCAAACAAAACTATTGCTGGTGCTCTTGATTGCCCTCCAGTATTTGGTGGTAAGACACTATTTCTAAAGGCACTACACATGTGAGTCATAGAACAAATATGGAGAAATAAAGCTGGTACTGACCTCAAAGTTTCATTTCTACCACCTACCATTCATAGTGCTAGAAGATGCTATGTGTGCTACCAGAAGAGAAAAGTAATCACCAGTCTTACTCAGCTGTGAACCCTCTAAGCTACAAAAATTACTGACTTGGCAAGATAGTTTCACTTGTCCAATAGTGGCACAAATGTCATGTAAATAACCACCCACTTTCTGAATGAATTTAAGGCAAGTTCACAAGATGAAACCCAAGATTAGCACTGTTATCAGGTTTAAGAATCTGTGGCTAGAGGGGTCACAGGATGTAGAGGAGAACATGATACTTTCTTTTGTAACATTCAATACAGTCTCAAATCATCATGTGCTTCCTTTATTGCCATAGTTTATCATTCTCCTTGTGTTTGGAATAATCCATCTCTTTTCCTTTA